TGAACCAAGCTCTGCTATTAAACATTTAACTGAATTTTTAAATATACTAAATATTCAATATGAAAATCAAGTAATGCTACCGATTTTGTGTCTTTATACTGACGGAGGTCTAGATCATCGTTGTAATTATAGTTCAGTACAAATCGCACTAATTAGTCTTTTTCTTTGTAGCGATTTTGATTTATTTGTCACAGTTTGTACAGCTCCTCATCACAGCTAGACAAATCTTGCTGAAAAAATTATAAATACTTTGAATTTGGGTCTTCAAAGTGTAGCGCTTAAGCGTGATTCAGTGAGCCTTGAATCTGAAACTTTATTTGGGATGGCTAATACCTTAGGTGATATACGTAAAAAAGCTCAAGAATCTGTTAAATTAAAATCTGAGTTAAAAGAAAGTATTAGAGACATTCAAGAAATATTAAATAACAGAACTGAATGGCTCAAATTGAAAGATAGCAAGTTTAGATATTATTCCTAGCGAATCAAGAAGTTATTACTGAAGTATTCGACGTAAAGAAAAGTGACACTTTATGATAATTTTATCTAATATTAGAGATTCTTATTAACTTTCCGTTATATTTACTATTTTACATATGAAATTGTTAATTTTTGATCAGTCAATCTTCAGTATAGATCTGATATTAAAAATCGAAGAAACTACATAAGTACAAATACGCAATCATTTAGCATTAGTCGAATTTATAGATACTCACTGCCAAACGCGTGCTTATAGTTTTCAGGCATGTAAACAATTATTATTAGAGTGTTTCAAGATTGTCTTCGAGATGTAAATATATTAATATTAAAGATAAAAAAATGCAATAGTAATTCCTGTTTACATTGTAAACCAATTCGTCTTCTATTACATAAATTTGGAAATTTAAGCTTTCTCCCAGATCCAGTTCCCTCAAAAGGTAAATTTATTTACTTCAAGATTCAATTCAAATAATTACATATTAATAAAATTTAAATTAGATAATATGGATCATTATGCAACCTTTTAAGATGTTTATAGAACTATAACGACTGAAGAACATAGACCAATATACATACAATTGCAGGCAAAATCTGAATCAATTCCAAAATCTATTCTAATTGCGGAAAAAATTTGTGATTATATTGATTGTGAAGATTGCTGGAAGCGTCACTGTGTGTATAGTAACAAGTCTTTAACCGATGATGAGTTATATGACTTTCAACAAATATTAGAGTTGTATTCATATTCATGTGGTGTGCTGATTTTTTCTAATGATCATTATTTGAAGGAAGTAATATTTGTACGTACACAAATTAGCTATGACTCACCTATTAAAATACTATACTACTCAAGTCGTAAAGTGGAAAATTATCAGATTTGTTACTATTGCGGAAATAGTGATAATTTGGTATCTCCATCTGAATCTTTAAAAGAATGTTTTAAGCAGATTTATCTGCTATGCGAAATTTGTCAGAAAAATGGAAGGAGTTTTTATACAAGAGCAGAAATTAAGACCAATAATAGAGCCACAAAACGTTCTAAAAAATAAATTTTATTCGTTATTGAACAGTAAAAGTATTGCAAAGATGAAAATGAGGATATTAATTATTGTATTAAAAAACTTTAATTTAAAGCTACAGGATAAGAGAATATGATCAAATGGATTTCTTTATGATTCAAAAAAATCATAGTGTAGTTTTTTAGTAATTGAGTATAGTTTTATTTTGTGGTATCTTGGTTCAATTATTTTACAAAGAAATGTTTTATTTTTTTTAATATACGATCGTTTGTGATTATATATTACAATAGCTCTGTCTAAATCTTTCACAATAAAACTTTGATGGCTATGTGAAATTCT